CAGGGCTTCTGAATCAAGTAAGGCGCTGTGAAGCCAAGGCAGGCCAAGAGCGGGCTCATGGGGGAGTTTAGGACCTGGGAGTGCCCTGGAGAACCCTGCTCTGGTTGCTTCCCACCGGCTGTGGGCTCCAGGCTGGGCATTTGACCGCTGGCCTCCTGTTTACATTTCTTGAGGAAGGAGGCAGGTGGGCTCTAGGCTAGGTATTTACCACTAGCCTCCTGTCTGCACTACGAGATAGAAATAACAACAGCAACAGGGTAAGTAGCTGGACTTTGTCTCCTGAGGACACTTTAAGATAACAGTCATGGAGGGGACAGAGAGGGGCTAAACCCTATTTGAGTAAAAAATAAAGAGGTCACATGTTTCCCATCCTTGGAGCAAGGGAGACACTGCACATGAGCAGAAAGCCTCCTTGGGGGTCAAAAAGGAGGGGGCGCCACCCCATAATAGGTGATGCCAAGGCCCCCCATAGGCCTCTGGGCTGGAATCCATGTCGGGGAGGGTGCTAGGGCAGGTCAGCAGTGGAAAAAGAAACCAAATAATGGGCCAAAGATAAACAAAGAGCGGGAAGAACTGCCCTATATAAATGACTTAACTGCCTCTTTCCCGTGCTCCCCCTCATTAGCGGAGATACCCACACCCTTTCTCTCCGGGTGTGTATTTCTGCCTTGCTTCTATCTTAGATAAACAAACTGTTTCTCTGTGTGCTTTCCCACTTGTGCTGTGTCTCTAATAATAAACTTTGTACCTGTTTTTACAGGTTTTGCCTTCTTGAGAAATGCGTTTTTCAATGGAGGCAAGGGCCAGGGGAATTTAGCTTCCAGCCTCTAGCCCCTGGTGGACTAGCGGCTGGGATTCCTGGTTTTCATCCATGCTACGCAGGTCCAGTTCCTGGGCAGAGAACTAAGATCTTGCTTCAAGCCACCACTCACTGCTATCTCTCCAAGATCAGGTGCATCCCAGCCAGAACCAGCGCGTGACCCACAAGGGTGATGTCCAGCTCCACATGGCTCAGGGTGCAGCTCATGGGTGCAGCCCATTTGGCCAGCCCCTCGTCCCCCACTCTGGGACCCACGCAGCACCCACGGCCCATCCCGGGCTGGGTCTCACTTCCCGCCTTGTCTCACCGAGCCAAGTCCGAGATGAGACCAGGAAGGTGCGATAGCCCCTCCACCGTGTGGCCTGGAACAGGAGACGGCACAGGTGGGAGCTGTCCCAACCCAGCAGTCTCCCCAGAGCATGCAGTGGCGGGTAGCAGGAGGATGCCCCCATCCACGGGGGTCAGGGCAGGACCCACCCACTCGGCTCTCAGCCAGCAGGAGAGGCACGGGATTGGAAGGCAAGCCTGAAAGGAGCCTCCAGGTGGTACAGGAGGGAGGGAGTGGGCCAGTGGTCTCAGCACAGAAAGCTGTTGGAGGGTGACTCCAGCTGAAGTCTTTGCTAAAGCCTCCCGAGCGGGGGCAGGGCAAGGCCCACCCCATCCTCTAGGTGAGGTTCAACATGCCCTGAAGTGGAGAGGCCGGTCCTCAAACCCAGACCCACTGGCTCCAGAGCACAAGCCCTCTGGCGGTCCAGTGGTTAGGGCTCCACGCTCTCACTGCCGAAGGCCCAGTTTCGATCCCTGGTCAGGGAACTAAAACCCCATAAGCCGAGTGGTGTGGCCAAAACAAACAGAGCACAAACCCTCTATGCTCTGCCCAGCCACAGCCCTGGGCAGGAAGGTTCAGCACGTGTCACCGCATGATAGCGGGCAAAGCTGGCTCTGAAACACGCCTGACAAGTTCAGGGACACCGCACAGAGGACCCTGTGCCCTTGACCAGCAACACACACACCAAAAGTGCGATGGGGGACTGGGCCAAGCCGGGGTCGTTTGTGCTGCACATGACCCTGGAACCCAGGGCCAAGGGATCATTGCACAGAGAGCCAGCTGAAGCCATCCAGCATCTCCCAGCCCAGGACCCTCCCCACTGCCCATCTGCAGGGCCAGCCGTTCAGGCCTACCCTCTGTCCCTGGCCACCGCCTGGGATGGCCGGATCCCTCTGCTCTGACCAAAACTGCTTCCTTGGGGAGAGGAGAACTCTACAAGGGGGAGCGGAGAACTTGGCGGTCCATGGGGCCATTTTCCCCCTGATAGCCTGAGGTTTGCATGTTCCTCACGCACTGGCCTATCATCCTGGTCTATCATCCTGGACAGTTAACCAGGTACCTTTGGATTGGCTTAAGTCAAAGCAAGGTAGGCAGTGGCTAGACAGGAGGAAGAACTTCCTGACCATCAGAGAACTCACCAGAATCAGGATGTGGTGATTCTATCACTTGGGAAGCAACACAGACCACCAGAGTAACTCAGAGGCTCAGTGACGACCGGCTGGGGGCACAAAAGACAGCCCTGTTTTCCAGCACCTGGGGTGGGGCGGGGGCCGGGCTCATGGGCTGCTTGCCCATGTTCATGCGGCCAGTGTCAGAGCAACCTAGGTTCACAGCCCCCTCCCCATTCAGGACCCCCGTCCATGCAGGTCACCAGCGGGGATGTGCAGGCCCCGGGGGCTCTTGGCTCCAGGTCAGCCCATCAGCAAAGGCATCCTGCAGCACACAGTGACCTGGAACAGGTAAGATCAGGATGCCAAGGGGGCCCAGCCCCAGGGGAACAGGTACTTTACGTGATCATGAGCACTCTGAGGAAGGGAGTCCTGCAGTCTTGGGGGTCTTGAAATCCTTTGTGGAGTGTTTCCCAAGGCCTTCTCTGGGCAGGCACCAAGCTTGGCATAACATTGGAAGGTTCACCCAGTGAAGGGGCCGTAGGTGCTCAGGGTCTCCCAGGGTGGGCTGATGGCTGCATGAAAACATTAGCACACAAGGGGAATAAGGGGTCCTGCTCAGTTAGTGCGATATGGTGATTTATAATAAGAGATATATTGTTGGTCTTCATCCCTGTCCCTACTCCCTGCACCGAGCTCCTAAAACCCTTGGAATTTTTTGAGTGCTGAGAGTGTAAAGGTGTCTTTTGTTACGTTAATGAGGTGACTCTTGCAAACACCTGCGGATGGGGGTTGGTTGCCCAGGAAACCAACCATGTGATTAGAGGGTAGGAACTTTCAGTCCCACCCCCTGACCTCCAAAGAGGAGAAAGTGGCCACAGGTTGAGTCAATTGCCATTGGCCAATGATTTAACCATTGTAAGGTAATGAAACCTCCATAAAACCCTCCAATAGACAGGGTTAGTGAACACGGGAGGTACTGGGAGAGTGGGGCTCTCAGAGAGGGTTGGGGGCTCTGTGCCCCTTCCCACGTTCCCTGCCCTAGGCATCTCTTCCATCTGGCTGTTTCTGAGTTTTATCCCTTTATAATAAATTGGTGATCTAGGAAGTAAAATGTTTCTCTGAGTTCTGTGAGCTGTTCTACCAAATTAATCAAACCTGAGGAAGGGGTTGTGGGAACCTCTGATCTATAGTGGGTCAGATGCACAGGTGACAACCTGGCCCTGCAACTGGTGTCTGACGTGGGGGACAGGGTGGGCAGTCTTGTAGGACTGAACCCTTGGCCTGTGAAATCTGATGCTATCTCCAGGTTGTGAAAGGAAAATAAAAATGGAGTCAGTATTGCTAAGAGAGCTCTCTAAAACAGAGCCAGGAGGCCACTGAGGAAGTAGGACATGCACACCTGATTCAGCAGTACCTCCAGCCTTGGAGGTTCCGTTAACTGCAGGTTAACGAAACTGTGGTTTCGTTAACTGCAGGGCCTTTGTTGTTATCCACTTGCTTGGAGAGTGTTGGAGGTGAGGGTTATACCCACTGCTGGCTGGCTTTCCAGATTAGAGACCCCGTGGACAATCAGGCCAAACTTGACAGGAAACTCCTGCCAAGATTTTGTCACATATACACTGTCAGTGGAAGTGACCCTGAGAGGTCATGAAGTAGAGGACCAAGCCATGCTGTCCCAGAAGGGCTTGGACGGTTTTGTCCATGGGATTTATAACAGTCACTGTTACCCTGGGGACTCTGCTGGTGTAGACTGAGCCCTGGTCCCTGCCCCAGGCTGAGCTTGAACCTCTCTGGGCCTCTCTGAGACACTTGTTGGGACTCTTGGGGGCTGGATGGGAGTGAGGCTAAGAGCCCCTGCAAGGTCAGGGCTGGGGGCTTGGCCCCAACAGCTCTGCCTCAGAGGCCAGCACCCCCAGCCATGACAGCGAGGTCTTTGTCAAGGCCAACCAGCAGGGAGCCCGGAGAGTGTACTCTGGTCCTCCCACCACCCACCCTGTGGAGCTAATGGCCCCTGCCACTCTCAGAAGCAGTCATGCCCTTGGCATCAGCTGACCCCACCCCAGGCCTGACCTCCAGGCCCCCTGTGTCCCCGGGGCCTCACCCAGTCCTGGTTCCTGGGAACACAGTCCTGGTTCCTGGGAACACAGACTGTGCAGTTGAGCAGAAGTGCAGACAGGCTTGCTCACTCCCACGTCATGCAGGGAGGGAAACTGAGGCCAAGAGAGGAGGGGTCCTGGCTGCGTCAGAGGGTCATTAGCCAGAGAATCAACGCTGGACCCCAGGCCTTTAATCTCCAGCCCAGAGAACTGACGTTTCCGGGGATCCTCAGGCTGGGACAGTGTGTTTCAGAGCCTCCACTTACCACCTCCTGCCCAACATGGCTGCATCAGTAGGCAGCAGTCACTCCACTCCTGGAGGGCCAAGCGGCTGCTCATTGGCCCCCCAAAGCATCACCCAGAGCCTGTTCCACCAGGGAAGGCACAGAGCTGGGCTGGGGCTGGGGCTCTCTGCCCAAAGGCCCCCTGGCCTCAGGCTGTCCCTCCAGCCCCAGCTCTAGCTCCTTTCTGATCAGGGCCCAGGCTGGCCCTCAATGCTGCCCCCAAGCCCAGGTGGCCCCAGGTTGTGCCCAGGGACACCAGGCCTTCGGGTCCCACTCATCCTGGCTTGTTCCTATCTCAACCAAGTGGGGGATCCTTCTGGCTCTGGCTGGCAACTATTACTCTGCTGCCAACATTAGAATTGGATTCTTGAACCCCAAAGAGCTAAAAACACCAAGATGTCTCAAGAGGTAAAGGACGTTCTAGAAAACATTATGTGTCAAAATCTAAGTTAAATTTATATGGTGTTTGAAAACACTGGGCACATTCCTATAAGAATTCCACAGAGGGTCCTGAGTGCTTGCAGGGGAGGCGGAATGGTCCTTGCAGGGCATGAAGGCGTACAGGTGGCAGGCGACAATGGCTCAGACAGATGCTCAGAGGGCGTGCCCCGGCACATTCTCTCAGGCTCAGAAGGAAAATCGGTTATTCCCAGTAAGGACGTTTTTCAGCTTGCAGGTGAAGGTGCAGGGGGCGCACAGAAGGGCTGGGAGGAAAGGTAGAGGCTTGTGGCAGAGGCGCTAGCCCAAGGGGGCCGAATGGCAGTGGAGCGCCTCCTGGCGGTGAGATGGTGACAGGAATTGCTGAGAACAGCGTGGGGCTCCGGGCTCCAGCTTTGGCCGGGAGAGATGGGTCGGTGTAGTTGGGACGGAGTTTCGGGAGCCAGTCTCTTCCAGTGAAGCCCTGGGACGGCGTGGAGGCGCGGCCTTCTGCGCGTGTGCTGGCTGAGCCCTGGGCGCCGGGAGGACTCCCCCCTGCACGCTCCCGCGCTGAGATCTGGGTCTCTCTCCTGGCTTCTCTACCGGAGCTGGAGAAGCTGCGGGTGTGTCTGCCCTCAGCGGAGGGTAGGTGATTTCTCTAGTTATCTCGTTTACCCAGAAAAATCTAGAGGTTTCTTCCCCTGTCCGAACTCTTTGACATCTTTGCAAAGGAGAAAATGGAGACAACACAGGAGGGTCTTCAGCCGTCCATACTGAGGGAGGGCTCCACCTACAACAACCAGCATCAAAGGGAGCCGCCAGCCCCGGGCTTCTGTAAACAAATTGTGCTAGGCTTCTGTCGTCCCAGATGCTCCAGAAATCTTCCCAGGACCAAAAGCAGGCCTACCTGGAGGCTCCGATGAACTCGAGGGTCTTCTTCTTCTTCTTCTTTTTTTTTTTTTCTTTTTTTAATGGCAGTGCCACGTGGGCTTGTGGGATCTTAGTTCCCCAACCAGGGATTGAACCCAGGCCACCGCAGTGAAAGCAGGGAGTCCTAACTACTGAACCGCAGGGGAAGTCCCTAGGGTCTTTTCTTAATTAACTTTTCAAATTTTAAAATTTTAACCAAGCATACTAAAAAGTATTCTTTACATCTTGATCTAGTTCAGATATATTTGTGTGTGTGTGTGTGTGTGTTTGTGTGAATGAATGTGCACGTGTGTATGGATGAATGATAACAATTTCATGGAATGTGCATGGTTGTGTGCAGCGGTCTCTGATATTTTCCTATGCAATTGAGTTTTCCTATATTCCTTTAAAAAATGCTCTTTGCCATTCCTTAAACTCATTTTATAAGGGAAGCAGCAATGACTAATAAACTATAGCTTCAAAAACACTGTCTGAGATTAAGAGGAGAATGGAGAATGTTGGAGCTTCTACGAATGAAGACAAAAAAAATCACTCTTACAAATTTTACAAAAACATGACCATGTGTAGTCTGTGGAATTGTTCCCCAAAGATGTCCTTGCCCTAATCCTCGGAACCTGTAAATATGTTTTATTACATGGCCAAAGGGATTTTGCAGATGTAGTTAAAATTATGGACCTAAAACTAGGGGGAAATTATCCTGTATCACCTTAGATAGATTGGGTGCCCCAATCTAATCACTTGGGCTCTGAAAAGTAGCGAGATTTCTCTGGCTGGGATCAGAGAAATGGAGCAGAAGGAGAAGTGGAAGACAGATTAAGTATGAGAAGGACTTTCCCACCATTGCTGGCTTGATGATGGCAGGGACCAAGTGAAGACCATGAAGAAGGAAATCAATTCTATCAACAAAATGAATGAGCCTAGAAGTGGATTTTCCTCAGAGCGTCCAGGTAAGAGCCCAGGGTGGACAAAACCTTGATGGTGGTCTTGTGAGACCCTAAGTGGCGTACCAAGCCACACTTGCCAGACTCGGGCTCTGTGAGATGGTAAATGGCTCTTGTTCCAAGCAGCTAAATGTGTGGTCATTTATTACTGCAGCAACAAACTCATACACCATGAGAACACTTTTCCAGGAACAGTGCAAGAGAGAGGCTGCAAAGCTGACTCTTCCTGAGCTCAGGGTAAGCCTGCCTTTGGTGTGGGCCTATTAGCCAGTCCAGAGACTCTTCCTACTTTCCTTCTGTCAAGCTTGATAATTGCTTCACCTTCCTGAAAGTGGACAGTGACTGTCACCCCTGAGAAACATCAAGTTACACTACCTAGAACATCAACCAAGTCAACGAGCTTTCAAGGTCCTGAGAAACATCAAGTTACACTACCTAGAACATCAACCAAGTCGACGAGCTTTCAAGGTCCTGAGAAACATCAAGTTACACTACCTAGAACATCAACCAAGTCAACGAGCTTTCAAGGTCCTGACACCTGCATCCTACATGAAGCTCCAATTTGCCCTCAGGCAGAGAGGTTTCCCCCACCTTCCCCTGATGGTCCACAAGGCCATGAGGAAGTCAGCACATCCTGCAGGGATTCCCAGAGTCAGGGTGGCTGGTAGCAAGGGCTTGGTGGGTTGAACAGGTAGGGGCTGGCCAGGAGCTAGGGGACTAAAAAGGTATGAAGGGTTTGAAGCTCACCTGTCAGGAGGTGCTGGGGGGAGAAGTCTGTGGAGGGAGCTTCAGAGAGGAGAAGGAGCAGTAGAAGACCAGGGGCTCCTAGCAACCCAATCTTTATTGTGTAAAGCGTTTCCCACCCTATCCCAGCCTTGATTCCACCTGGTGACCTCAGATCTCTCCGGCACAGCCACAAACACACCTCACTCCTGCTCCAGTCCCCTCTGTCATAGTGTCTGATATCCCCAACCTAGAGGTGTCCCTGACACCCACCCTTCCCCTTCCCATAGTTCCTGACTTTTGCCAGTCCCACTGTGTGTCTCCACAAGCAGTGTCTGTTTTTTCCAGGACATAAACTTACAGACAAGGGAGGATGCCCTCCTCTGGCAAGGTTAGTTTCTTCTTAGCATAGTGGATGCCAGGGGTTCTTCAGTTAGGGATTTTCACAGAGCCACTCCCTGGGTTTGGCTCAGCCTTGGACCCACAACCTCTTCACAGCCTCAGCTCCCTGAGAATTAGACCCATTCCCCATTTTACCATCTGCTAACTGAGATTCTGCCCCAGCCCAGGACCACCTTGAATCTTCACCAAGCTGCCTCTGACCTGGGGCTGCCCCACACTGTGGACCCAGCAACTGCCAAGTGTTACAGGGTCCAGCCCATCACGCTGGTGGAGATGGAATGGCGGACCTCTTAGACTGGCCCCAGGTCATCCCATTAGGCTTTTCCCCTCTTCTCATCTGCCTGGTGCAGCCCACCTGAAGGAGGGCAGTCCAGAAGCACTGCTGAGTCTCCTCTATGCCCCCAGGTGTTCTCCACCCGGCAGCCTGCCACCGACAACTTTCTCCCCTGGGCATTTGTGGCCTTGACTCTTCCCAGGGACTGCTGTGAGCCTGTCCTTTGCATGAGGCCATTGCTAAGGTGAGGGAAAAGCCCTCTGTCTCCTCCTTCCCTGGCTCTACTTATCCCCTCCTGCTACTTGTCTAGGCCTAAGTGAGTCTCCCACTTCTTTCCCCAGCACTCCCATCTCTGTCTGTTATAGGGAAGAACCTTTGTATTCTATTACAAGTTAATCACTAAAGGGATGTTGCCTGTAAGCTTAAATTATACATAATGGCCCATCTCTGGGAACCCTGCCTCCTAGGTAATCAGCATTAAGCAAAAATACCTGTTTAGCTCACAGCAAACATCCTGACCAGGCCCACCTGTGAATGACTGCAGGAAGGGAGAAATTAACACGTCCCCTCCAGAGTTTGACAGGAACCAGGACTTTACTCCCTCCCCTTCCTGCATAAAAGAGGCCTAAATTCTAATTCAGGGAAGATGGTTCTTTGGGACACAAGTCCACCATCTTCTCGGTCAGCTGGCTTTCCAAATAAAGTCACTACACCCGGCCCCAACAACTCGTCTCTCGATTTACTGGCCTGCCTTGTGGCGAGCACTATGAGTTTGGACTCAGTAACATGTACACACAAGGGCAGCTTCCCCCAGGAATGTTAACTCATACCTCATCTCACTGAGCTTGGAAACTCAGCTTGCTGACAATATTACCAAGCTTAAGATTTCACTTGCTCTCACCACAGTGTCCAACCCTTAAAATTCGTGCTCTGAGACCTTTGTCTTCCACGCATCTGAAAACTCTGATTGGTGATGACTGGCCTTTGACAAGTTCCAAGAGGAAAAGTTACACACCTCTGGACACACACCCAGTTCTCCGGGGTCTTATCCATCTAAAACTCTGAAACACCTGCTCCCTGAACGTGTTCTCACTATGATGCTAATGCCCGTGCGTATCTTTCTCACTGGCTCAATTTCAGCAATTATAATTTGGAATTATAGTAGCCACTTATTTATTTATTTATTTATTTATTTATTTATTTATTTATTTATTTATTTGTGGCTGCGTTGGGTCTTCGTTGCTGCACGTGGGCTTCCTCTAGTTGCAGCAAGGGGGGGCTACTCTTCTTTTCGGTGCATGGGCTTCTCACTGTGGTGGCTTCTCTTGTTGGGGAGCACGGGCTCTAAGCACTTGGGCTTCAGTAGCTGTGGCGCATGGGCTTAGCTGCTCCACAGCATGTGGGGTCTTCCTGGACCAGGGCTAGAATCCATGTCCCCTGCATTGGCAGGCAGATTCTTAACCACTGCGCCACCAGGGAAGTCCTAGTAGCCACTTTGGAGGAAATCTGATATGGACAAAATTACTCATTTGAGAAGCATCTTAGAACAAAAAACAAAGCAAAATTCTAACTGTCCAATGGTGTGCTTTCTTAATTGGTATGAGAAGGATTCTAAACACAATTTGAACTCAAAAATTGCCTCCCTAGGAGGCTTCCCTGGTGGTGTAGTGGTTGAGAGTCCGCCTGCCGACGCAGGGGACACGGGTTCGTGCCCTGGTCCAGGAAGATCCCACATGCCGCAGAGCGGCTGGGCCCGTGAGCCATGGCCGCTGAGCCTGCGCGTCCGGAGCCTGTGCTCCACAACGGGAGAGGCCACAACAGTGAGAGGCCCGTGTACTGCAAAAAAAAAAAAAAAAAAATTGCCTCCCTAAATATTACTTAGTGAAAACTAATGTAAAATATGAGAATCTTCTCCCTCATCAGCACCTTCAGACAGTGTTCAGGATTAGCTTTTGATGTTATTTCCAGTGCTCTTTCCACTGTTGGTTAATGGCTAAAAGTCAGAAATCATAGATGTATTAGGTAAACAAAAATGTTGGCTGGTAAATCACTCCATGGCATGATGAAATAAAATTTATATTTTAAGGCAGGACAGGAAAATTTAAACATAAGATTCTTTCTGTTTCAGCCTCCTCCCTCCCTCCCTAATGTGCATCTGCCTTACACATTAACCGGACCTCCTCAAAGGTGGGAATGCCTGCTCAACTGTAAAGTTCAATTTTTTTTTCCTTTCTTCTGATGCTAGTAATATAACTTCTTAAAAGATGAGCATTCTTTCCCAGTTCTGTGAGGGGTCATGGTGACTTGCTTCTCTCTTTGTACATGTTACCTGGATTATGGATATCTGTTGAACTTTAAATAAAATGTCAGTGTCATGTTGATGTAAAATCCTTTGTCTCAAAAGTGTGCATGACTGTGCCTTCCACTTCTAACGGGCAGAACGGTTCTCAGAGCTTCTGAGAGTCTGTCTCCCAGATTATAATCCTCAGTTTGGCTTGAACAAATTTTTTTTCTTAACTTGTTAATTGAATTTTCA